ATACATATCATATACATATCGGTACCCGATATGTATATGATATATATATTTACATATATCTTACACATATCGGGTACCCAATTTTCTGCATTAATACTACACATATCGGGTACATATCTGATACATATCTACTACCTGATATATTGGTTTTTGACCAGTGTAAATAGTTTAATACATTTTTGAAAAAAAGATAGATTTCTTCCTGAAACTGGTAAACCACTTCTTTCTAGCTATTTGCGCAAATTAGGGGCAGTATTTGCGGTCATATTGAATGGTGCGAAGAATTTATCAGAAGCTATGCATGAGCATCGCCAGTCAAGCCCTTCGATATTCGCCAGACAATTATGCCTCCCCAGCGCAAAACTATACTATAGTCAATTTTGAAAAAGAGGACAGCTTTATGATTAGGCAATGGCATTTAAGCTCTTTGACGAAAACTAATCACATAGATGAGTTAGACAACATTTATTAAATTTTATTTTTTCATTCGCCTAAGATCTAGCATATATAAAATATCACAAAAATGGCCAGAATGGAATTAACCGATCAAAAGCATTTATCTGATAGTATAGCTAGGAGCAAAAAGAAATCAGAGGTACAGAGAAAACAGCCTGGTTATTTGAACTGGATGAGCAGAATGCAAGAGCATATAAAGCACTCTCTGGACAGATTTGAAAGCTCGAGAAAAAACTGGATAATTATCATTCTGAGTATAATAGCTTTAAAAAGATGGTAAGAAGATTGGAAAGAAATAAAGAAGATCTATATGTACAACTACTGGATGAATGTGTGGATAGGGAGACTGTGATTGACTTAATACATAAAACAGTTCCCATACTGATTAATGAAAAAAGTAAGGGTTCTGCCTATTTGTCTGAGTTTTCTGAAGATTCTGATTCGGTTGAGATAATTGAGAGATCCTATGGGTACTGGGTAAGAGAAGAAAAGGCTGTCCCTCATGCTTTTGCGCCTTTGGCTAAGCAATAAAGTAGGACACAACCAAGAAAGGTTAAGCGAGTGGTAGTTTAAAGAGATGAATTAGGCACTTTGCATATTTTTGATCAAAGATAATTGAATCAGATAAATTATTAGTATGGCTAAAAAATCAAGGAATAACTGGCGCAAGACAATGGGTAAGTTCACTACTAACCCCACGCAGTATTTGCCATTATGCAATCCGGTCAAATATGAACACACATATGATAGGGCCACTGGCTTAATCACTGTTAAGAACATAAGACAGGATGGAGTTGTAGGCGTGTTCAATTACTTTGAGCTGAGTGGATATCTGGGAGTCTGATCCAACCCAGAAAATTTATTTTTTTGATTAAAGATACAGCATATATTATTTATGGTGCATACAAGTATTTTTAATATACAGGAATTACTAGAACATATTTTACATTTCTTAGCAGTAGATAAGTCACTCTATCCCACTCTATCACTCTATTTGTTTCCCGATTGTGGTACAGATGCGGTGCTCCTGTTCTGTGGAAACGCATCGAGCTAAAGTGGAAGAATAAATGCCACTCTCAATTGAAAAAATTTATGAAAATAGTATGTAAAAGGCAAAAGCCGGTTTATAGCTTAAATCTAACACATCTAGAAATTTTGAACTACTATCCACTTTCAGATAAAAAATTCAATGGCTTTTCGCGTATATTCCCAAATATAGCCCATTTAGATTTAAATTTTAGCACAGGGTTTGGCGATAAAACACTAAATCGAATAGCAGAGACATATCATCTCTTCTTGCTCCCAAGTTATTCCTATTAACGTAGTCAAGTTATCAATGGAATAGTTCATTTGGATTAGATTCTGGAGTGAAGATCGTTTATTTTTTTTCTAGAGTAAATAGACTCACTCCTCCCATAACAGCAGATTCTACACTAATAGGAATCTTTTTACGAATATCTGATCTATTAGCTAGGATAGATAAAGGTGGAATTAGAGCCGGATAGTAGAAGTCAGCTAAGGGATCTAATTCGAATTCACAGACGTATGCGTTCCCAATATCTTCTAAATAATCCGAAAGTCTACGAATCAACTTCTGGAATAACTTAGGTCGATCCATCGGCCGGTTATGTAGCACGAGGCAACTGTGTAACATATCAACCACTCAAAATATTTTTTCTTCATAACATTTTCGCCTTGTTTTGTTTATATCGGATATAATCTACCATACTACCATGACTGAAAGTGCTAATCTGATGCCATTCGTCTGTAAGTGGTTATATTCTCATTCAAAACCACAACATTTCGAAACCCAGGAGAAACTTAGAAAGCACATCGACGAACACGACATCAATTCTTGCAACAGAGCATCTATAGGAGATCCAATTTATATATGTCCGTGGGAAGGTTGCAATAAGCATCAAAGTAGTATTACTAAATTAGAAGGTATAGAAAAATATGTCAAGTACTTTTGACTTTACTAGTTCCGCTGATGTCGTAAAAATTAAATTTATTGTTATATTTGCAGAACATTTACATAGACACTCTCGTCAAAGACCATTCAAGGTAATTTCAAACAAATATCTACCTGATAATAGTGTTATCAATTGGCGTGGTTTGTTTCGCGACAAGAGTTGCTGCGATGTTATACCAATAGTTTATTTGCGCTGTTTAACAACACTACCTGATACTTTTTTTGTGTGACTTTTTTATATTAGTGTCCAATTTGCACTGGCTCGCGATTTTGTTCTCTTGATGCGCTAAACCGACATTTGATTATCAACCATAATGATAGTGTAGTGGACTCTGACACCGATAATGATACATTATGTGATGAAAATGAAAAATTGAATTTAGGTATGTTGCTACAATTATCTGTATTGTATTAAATAGCTTTTTGGATTGTTATTATATTATGATGAATTATATTTCCACTTGTCCTTCTGAAGACACATGTTCTTTTCTTGTTGAATGGAAAACTGAAGATAAAAATGATGTTCGTGTGGAGAAAAAGTCTAGCAAAGATGAAGCTACCATTTCTATTAAAGGAAAAGACAAAAAAAACGAGTTTATACCAACGAATAATAACACAAAGTTATCTTACCGTGATGTTCTTGTAAATGGACGTAATAAACATGATCAGACCGTGCAAGAATTACTTTATATGGCAATGGAAGCTATCTCATCATTACCTAGGCTAGTCGAATATGATTTGGATAATGAAAACTTTGATGATTTACCTGACGCGCCACAAGGAGAAATATTGTCTGAGGATCAACAGGACGAACTTATGTGGGAGGCATTTCGTAAAGCCTACGAAGGTTCAAAAGCTGTCGAATATTTTAGTAAAGCCTTTTTATTAATGGAAGGAGGACCTTGAGCACAGATTCCGCTACTAGTTACAACATTCTCTTTATACATATAGTTAACAGTATTGTGCGAAGCAGATGCAAAACACCCAAGCAGCTTTGTCCCCTTAATTTTTTCCTTACGATCAATTATTTATAATTTTAACGAAGAATAAGAATAAACAAAAATGTTAAAGAACCGCACGAAATTAATCGTTCAATAAAATAGTCGTATATCAAATGTATATTTATTAGAAAATAAAAACTAAAGTTTAACTACTTCTATACACCCATTTTGCGCATTTTTCAAAATGCTATCGGAAAATCCGATGGCTGATCAGTTACTAATTGCAATAGTTCGAGAGCGTTTTGCAATTGCTGAGAAAGTACTGGTTTAGTTTTACCCTTTTCTAGGGACTTTTTGTGAACAGTACGGTTTCGCTTGAATTTGTACCCAAATAATGATCCCACTTCATCAGCTGTCATCCCATAATGATCTTTAGCTAAAACATAAACTCTCCCCTCAACACTTTTGTTTTTAGTCATTTCCTCATACAACTCACGAATCTTTTATTATATGGTAAGTGGGTATTGTAAGTTTTTAATAAAAGATTGTACCACATTCCAATTATGTTGCAAATATCATTTCTCGTATCGATCATTTTTTCGCCGGAACATTTATCTAGCAATAATTAAGTTTGAGTTTAACATGGTTAAGCATTTGTATTAGATCAAGATACACGTACTTTTTTTATCCTTATCAACGATTAGCAAGGCGTCCGTTTTAGCAATCACTTCATTCCACTTCTCGTCTGAAATATCGGAACGTTTTCGCGGTTTTTCTTCTTTAATATACGTGATCCACGTGATAATATCTTCAGGGTCAACCTGCTGCACACCATTTTTTTCTCTATGCAGCCTCCGTTCTTCTCGTAGAATGTTGCCATCTCGTGTTACTAATTTTTGAAGACAAACTTGCCTCCAATTTATTTCATGATTATTATTATTAATGCATTATTATGTTAATACGAATGAAATTTTCCAAATGACATCATAGATGTGATCCGTTGATCTCTTTCCAAATGATTTGTGACTTTTTATCTGTCTTGTATAAATCGAGATCCATTTTTATGGCGTAATTATATTACATAATGTAGATGTTGTTGCGTCAGATTTGTTTGCATAGCACAAGTAGTTCGAAATGGTAATTGATTTGCGTAATTTTTAATATGCTCATTAATTGTGTTACAAAAGAAACGTGACAAAATCATATGTTTAGATAATTAATAGCCAATCATTTTCTGATCACATGATAAAAATTATAACCAAAAATTTCGATCTTTGAAAAAATAAAAATAAATCAGATCATTTATTAAATATGTTCGGCTAATGCTTTTCTATTACATATAAAAATAAAACAGATCATATAGTAGAATCTATGTAAATATGTTTGAGCTAATGCTTTCTATTATATTAAAAAAATAAATTAGAAGCGTGATCATTTTTTTAGAATCTATATGTAAATATGCACAGCACCGGCCAATGATGTTATTCAATCAGTCTGCATTGGTACCGACTCCCTATTTAGATCTAAATCATTAAATTGATTTTCAAGCCAATTTGGTCGAGAAGAATTCGCTCTAACCTTTTCTTGAATGATCTTTATTTCTTTATCAGTAAATTTTCCAAAAGATAATAGTGAAATTCTCCTAATTTGCTTGATCTCATCTCTTCCCAAACCTTCTGTTTTGAATATGTTGTAAATATTTTTGGCTGAGTGCTTTTTCTTGTTAAAGACATTACAAGTCATTTCAGAGGGAAATTGTCACTTAATTTCTACATTATTAAGCAAGATTTTCACAGGTTGGCCAGGGTGAATAGATTTAAATTCAGCCAATTTCTTCTCCAATGCTTCTCCGAGAGGATAGTATGAGTCAAGGATTTCATATTCCATGTGGGATACTTTAAGTGTTTTTTCTTTAAGAATCCTTTCAGCAACAAGTATTTTATTGTGTAATTCGACGAACACTATATCTGGAGTTGTAGAGTTCTCCGTTTCTATATTTGTCACTGGTGACGGATTAAAGTCTTGTGGTTTGTTGGATAACTCTTTAAAAAATTTTTTAACCCTATGATCTTCTTCTTGAGGATTTAACCTTACATCATTATCCTCGCCAAGATAAATAAGTCGTTGACAACGAGAACATGTCGTATTTTTTTTTAAGGAAATAATAATACATCTAAGATGAAAGCTATGAAGACAGGACAATCTCACAGGTTAGCTCCATTAGGTTCGAATAATAGATCGAATTTATTACACAAAGAACATGTTTCAGATCCCTCTCGAGCGGATTCCCTTTGAGAATTGATAAGTGCAGTGAGTTAAATAGTGTGATAAGGAATACTTCTATTGAGTATACCCTCATGTTGAAGCCCAAATATTTCTTCTTCAATGGTCTATGGAACAAGTGGAGGGGTGTTATTAGAACTTTTTGATTCCATTAGTATTTTTTTTTTGAGATGCGATTTACAGGAAAAATGTTATGATGAGCGAAAGGAGGGCATTTTTATACTTCTGAACATATTCCACTTGTAATCGCAAAATTATAGCAACTGGAACTTGCTAGAAGAAATTTCAAAACAGAATACTCTCTAGTATATACATAGTAAATAATTCATTTGTATTACTGCAAATCTGCAATGTAATCCTCAAGACTTTTATTATATTTAACATTTGTTTTTTCTACTGCGTCCAATACCACATGATAAAACAATAAAATTTTAAATTTACTATCGATCGATGAATATGTTCCTTCTATTGTTTCACATACAAAATCTCTTATGTTCTCAGCTTTTTCACGATCACCCAGACAGAACTTCCATATTCTTTTTTATTGAAGATCTTTTAAAAATAATTAGGTTTTGTACTCCCTTATGATAAATCTTTTTGTGAGCATAAATACAGGTAAAAAATACATAAAAAGTTAGAGTTGATTGATATGAAACATATCCTTCGACCACTATACTAAATTAATGGAAAAAACTCTAATCCTCTTCTCATGTACTGTTATAATTAATAGTGACATTGATTACGTTAGTATTTTGTGAAAAAGAAGGAATTGTTAAAATTACGGGTCTGGAGGTATTAGTTGTTTTGACAGTTGATGGATTTGATGTTGTGAGTGATGATAATTTAGGAGGTTTTTTGACAGTCTTTTCCAATGGTTGTTGCTCAAAACTTGACCCAACATTTTCGTTATGTATCTGCTTGAATAGAAATTCTAGCAAATGGTGAGAATCGTGTTAATTTAGAAATAATCACCCACTTATTTTTCACAAAAACATACCTGGTTTTAACCAGAATAACGTTGAGAACTCATCATATATTTTCTCTCTAACCAAGCTCTTCAGTACCTTCTCTGTATCTTTTTGCTGTCTAAAAAATAGTAAGTATATTAATTTTAGATTCCACGTAAAATCCAAGTAGATATACTTACATTAAAAGCTTTCGTGAGATTTAAAAACTTCTTGTAGCAGTCCTCACCTAGGAAATAGTTAGTATTTTCCTGTTTGTTCAACTTACTAGTGATATCATCCCAGAAAACTCATTTTTTCTTATTTGTGGTGGCATGATATTTGAAATTTCTTTGTTTACGTTCATTGATGAGAAGATGAAGTTGAGCATCAAAATACTTAGTAGAAGAAGATATGTTTACATTGGTGAAAGAATTCTGTAAAAATTGGGCCAGTTTTATAAAATATCGAATAATGTATTCTGATCATAGCGAATAGTTTAGTTGAGCATGATGATCTGGTCTAATTTAGCCAAATCAAAAAATTATTAATCTGTCTTCATCTGAACAATCGAATAAATTTCAAGTGATACTATGATAAAATATTTCATTCGCTTTACAATCTATTGCCTTACAGTTATAAAAAAATATAAAATTTACTAAACTAGTTATTTATAGATATGAAAAAATCCTGCTTTAATACAAAATAGCAAAGTAAATTAATTTACGATCTGTTTATGCGAAGCGCCTTAACGGCAGATATATGAAAAGACATATTTTTTAATATACTTTCTGCATAGGAGAAAGCGTTTCATTGTTAAGTTATATATCACTCAAGTCTGCGAGATTCTAAAAAATAAAAATTTTTCTCTGCTTCTTAAACGAATCACGAATTAAATGTTCTTTTTTTTGTTACTATTTATAAAATCACTCTTGATTATCAGGCTTTTTGTTATTAATAAAAATATTAATTTTTTTAACACTTTGAGAAAATGAGGGTGTCACGGGTTTTGAACCAGAAGAAGGTACAGAGAATGTAAATGATATATTCTTTATTCTGATTTTTTTGCAATAAGAGCATATCAACAAAGTGATATTACAATAAAATATTTTATTTGCTTAAAGATTTGGTCCAAAAGAACCTTTAATTTTAGCTTTTTATACAAATACGTTCTGTAATGGTAAAGAAAAAATTTTTATAATCCCAACCCATTTATATAAAAACTTCTGGTTTGCGCTCCAGAAAAATAATATATTTAGCCTAGTTCTACTAGTTTGAACCAGTTCTTTTGGAATTATTACCACCATAATTAATAGTAACATTTATTACACTTGCATTTTGTGAAAAGGAGGGAAGTGTAGAAGTAATAGGCCTAGAAACGGCAAATGCTTTCATGGATAGTGTTACCGGTCTTAATGCTGGAGAGGAGATCTCGAATAAATCTGCAATATCTGATATTCGTTCAGATTTAGAGATTGATGAGCGAGATGATAAACTCGCCCTATTTGATCCCTTAACCACTTAACGCTTCCACTACATGTTTTTCTGAATTGTGATTCTATCAAATAAAATAGATATGTTATTAATAATGAAAAGTTTCTCTCTCAAATAGTTTACCAGAAAAAATATATATACCTGGTTTTTGCCAGAACTTTGTCGATAGTATTTGGAATCATGTAACAGTTATTCGAATAACTCGAGTATATTTGAGTATTCGAATAAGCATAGTGGTTATTTGAATATTCATTTAGCCAGATATAGTATAGTTAAAATTCTAATTGGGCATTAAATCCTTAAATTTAACTGAGTTAAAATCATAATTTAGGCTAAAAATTATGTAAATCATTACTATAAAAGGAAATTTAACTTATTCGAATATTATTAAATGAATACTCGAGTATATTCGAATATATTCGATTCTAAACACTATTTGTCGAAAACTCTTCATAAAGCTCTTCTCCAATTATACTCCTTTTGTCTTCAGTTTCTTCTTTTATTCTCTTGGCAGTCTAAAAAAAATAATAATAAGTATATTAACCAGACAGGTCTTCAAGGGAAATATCCTATCAACCAACTCTACTTACATAAAAAGCTTTTGTGAGGCTTAAGAATTTTTTATAGCATTCGTCACCAGTGAAATAATTAGTCTTTTCCTGAACATTTAATTTTTCAGCAATCTTGTTTCAAAAGAGATACTTCTTCTTATTTGTAGTAGAATGATACTCTGCATTTCTATTTTTTCGTTTATCAATAAGAACGTGAAGTTGGGCATTAGAGAACTCTATAGTTAATTTTTTTTTACATGATAAGAAGATTTTTTAAGGATCTGTTTTATAAAACAATATTGAGTGATATGTTAGTAGGATCATTGCGAGGCAAATTAATTGATCAATATAATGATTAATCAAATAATAACGGTAGCTTAGCTATCATGTGACTATCATGACGCATTATATTACCAAGTTAGATCCAAATTATAAGTTTTAAGATCAGCTAGAATTATGGCATAATGTCAGCTGAAATTAATCACAAATTTACTGCACCACCCATCACCTTTTTTTATACCACTTCAGTATCTAGAAAGGCAACCAAAAAGGTGCAAATTCTTAATATAGATCTAGTATCCAAACTAGCATAGAGAGCTGGCACCCTCATTATAGAACCAGGTATTCAAAGATGACTGGAAAGCCAGAATTAACAATATAGATTTTATTACTATATGTAAACGGATTAGGAACAAGAAGAAAGCACTCACTATTAGATCATGACATTATCATTAAATTAAAGCACTACCAGTCACCATTAGACTATGAAGATACCACCATATTATACAGGAAACAGTTGAAACAATGTCATAAATGCAAAGGAGCTATCCATAAGTAGGTTATGAAGTTCCTATCAGATCATGAATAATAGGTTATGAAGTTACTACCAGATTATGAAATTAGATTATGATATCACCGCTATATTATGAAGTTACCAATAGATTATGAAATTACTGGTAGACTATGAAGTTACCAACAGATTATGAAGTTACTGGTAAATTATGAAGTTACCTATAGACTATAAAGATACCTATAGACTATGAAATTACCTTTATAATCTAGGCCAAGTCACATGCGACTGGAGTTTTTAGAAAGTGAAAAAGTTTTGTAATGATAATACGCTACAATTTTAACAAGGGAATACCGTGAAAGACATGCTTTTGACAGCAGTCTTTCTAGACGTGAACTTAAATGTTGTGCAAATCAATAATGGAACCTTTAACCTGTGTATATTTCAAATTCAATATGAATAGATATTATGTGTTATATGTAAAAGATTATGAATTGAAATTACATCAAGATCTAACTTTAATCTACTCACTTTATCAATTGAATCATTTGCGAATTAAGTAATCAATTACACAATTATAATAATAGATAATAATTATATACTTATATAATAGCCGTTATATATCAAATTACTTGCTATATACAAAGTTTTGTTCTTTTTTTGGATTATAAACATGGTATAAAATAATAATACATATGTGTATACCTTTTTTTACTTTGATATTGATGAGTAATCAATAAAATCAAATGATGGTGAGAATCTACATTTTTTTACAAAAAACTTTGCTAAGCAATGCTTTTGAAGTGTATAAAATTATAAAATTTGCATAATCTAAAATAAATCAAATAAATCGATTATAAACTTTTCACATGATTCCATTATTTTTAACTTTTTTGAAAAACACCAATTTTAGCGTCAATTTTAATATCGATAATTAAAGATGAATTCTTTTTAATTTGTTTTTCAGATTTCTTTGATTTCCAATCTTCATTTCTTCATTTTTATTTAAATTCTTTTTGTTATAAAAATAAGAGATGTTAATAATAGTCTCCTAAATCCTAATGTTCATGAATTCATATAACATTTCTTTGGAATATGTTTCTCAAATTCTTGAAAGTCTTTTGTCATGATTCCATTTGGCGATAGAACTACTATACCCCCAAATTCTCTAAAATTCAGAAAACGTAAGTCCAACCATTTTACAAATCTTCTCACTTTAAAAATAGGTGTGACTTTAGCTTGTAAAATTTCGAGTATCTTTTATTCTGAAAGGAAATAATTGTTGATTGATAATCTAAAATACACTTGGAGGTAAATCAACTCGATATATTCAGTATATATCATTGAAATTAATATATGTTTCCCTCGCGGAAAGAGGTTATTTATACTATTGAGTTTAAATTCGAGGAATTATACCGATTAACTCAAATGTGGGCGAAATAAATTTTTCAATCAAAATCATATATAATTTTATTTTATTTCATAAAAAATAACCTCGCGTGCTTTTAATTGGATGGATTAAATACTCTATTGATGTAACCACATTTATTAATAAAATTCTAAATGTTATAAAGCAATTTACTTTTACTTAAAAATGCATATGTACAAAAAGAAAATTAATATTTATAACTTAAAAATATAATTTCATAGTTTAATAGATTAAAAATATAATTAATTCACTTCCATAATTTAATAGATAAAAAGCCCGCAATAATAGCCATAAAACCCCCAACCCTTAACACAAAACCAATAGAATCAGCATCTAAATTTTTGTCATGTGGATGATGTTGCCTTATAGTATTTTTATCACCACTAGGTTCTAATATGGCAAATATTATACTACTAAAAATTGTTACTAAAAATTGAGGTAATACGATATATATATTGTGAATTCCTAATAACACACCCGCTTCTGAAGAATCTTTGGTTGAAATATCACCATGTGAATCTATAAATGGAATTTCTGACGTAGTTTCTTCGGTTGAAGTCCTCATAGATGTTCTTAAATTTTCATCATTATCTTCCGATTCATTATCTCCACCTTCTAGAACAGCTCCAGTTTCAACTAAATTATACATTAACTGATTTGTATCATCATCTATATCATTACTTTGTTTGGGAGATCTATATTCTTTTGCAATATATTCTCCCAAAATTGAAAATGGCGCCCACATGGTGATAGCCCATGCGATCCCACATAAACTAATTAAAATATTTGCTTGAGTACCATTGGTTACAAACCAAGTTGATAACATTGAAGATGCAAAAATAAAATGCGAAATCGTCCATAATTTTGGTACCGTGAGAAATACAAAAGGTATTTGAAATAGTTGCCTCCATGAAAATTTTGGTCTGGTTGAATCATTAGAGCTGATTAAAAATGGTAAGACAAATGATGCCACTAAACTTATAATCGAGTATAATAATAAAGAAAAAGAACCAGCACGTATTGAGTCACCAACTGAATCATCAGATGGTTCCTCAGATGAATCATTAGCGAAACGGGAATGAATTTCTGCAACCCAAGTTGTTGAATAAAACAAAAATGGAAACCAGCCAATCCAGGCAAACAATTGAACATTACATATTTGTTGAATATACTTTGGGAGGGTACGAATAGATTTAATTATGGATGCTAGTGTTTCATAAGCTGCAGTTAAAGCACTTGTGGATTTATTCGAACTTCCAGTATATATCTGTTCAGTAACGGCCCAACATGTTAATGCATCTGACACTAATAAAAGAATAGATGCAATAACACATAAAACTTGCAATTGAGTTTTGCCAAGAAAAGGAAAAACCTCAACTAAATTAACAAATCCCCTGTATAACAATTGTAATATGTTAGACTAAGATTCACTCTTAAATATAAATCAAGTTTGATCCGACATATCTTTTTGTCACACCTACATAAAATAACCTAAAACACTTCCAATTCCAACCATTCTACCAGCCCAAGCTGTGCCTTCCTCTTGCTGAGATGGTGGTAAAATGTCAACAATGAGAACTCGACAACTTGCTTGAACTTCAGTTTTAACGAAAATTATTAATTGAAACGAATAAAATTTGTATTTATTTCAAAAGATAATTAAAATAAATATCTTACCGCAATTTATCGCAAAATCGAGAACATAAAATGATACGACTGCTAAACATTGTGTTAATAATGTCATCTAATTAAAAATAAACAAAGTTACTTAAATTTAGAAAAAAAAATATATTTTTTTTTTGTATTTTTAATAAAAAAAGAATTTAAAATTTACCATTGATGATTCTTTACTAAAAAAGATACCAATAATTTCTTTGGACCAGCCAATAAACATAAAAGCGCATACTACGGCAAGACTACCAGCTAATAAAAAAGGCCTTCTTCTGCCAAATCTAGATGTTGAATTGTCTGAAAGTGTTCCAACTATAGGCTGCATTATAAGGCCTATAAAATAAATATACTATACATATGATTAAACCAAAAAAAAAAGAAAAAAAAAAAATTTATAATTTACCTGATAAAGGCCCCGCAAGCCAAACTAAAGACATTATTGATTTTGATAATCCTATAGAAAGTAAATATGGTGTTCCTAATGAAACAAATATATAAATATTTCAATTAGTAGTTGATCATATGAATATAAATTATAACATATAGTCACACTTGATATAGTCCGCCATTTCGAAATTTACGATATTCATAAATTCAAAATCTGGTATGCAACTGCATGTAGAAGAATTACCATATGCCAGTTCCACTGTCCCTAAATAATTTTTTAATCATAATTATTACATGGATCATTATATATATCGTTAAAAAAATCCAACGCATAATTTTAATTTGCTTTTTACCTACAAGTAAATTGTAAACTTAAAAGAAGTAAAAATTATTGAGATGTAAATATTAGTAATGGTGATAATTTCCAAAGCTTTTTTGTTTTAATATAAACTCACCCAGCTAAACATTGAGTCAATAATATCATTTTCACGGTCTTATTACCACCTCTGATACTTGGAATATTAATTTCTTTATTATTAGATCGAATACCATGGTCAGAATTATTATTCACGTTAAAATTTGAATCAATGTCTTCTTGACCAGCTATCCCTCTTGCTGATATGTCTACCGAGGTCGTCGAAGAACGTGGTGTTTCTTTCATTTCTTCCATGATTTTTTTTTTAAATGATGATTTAGCAAATAACGCATTTTATAAGACATGCATATCAACATTGTATCACTATGAACGTCATACTTACCAAATCATTCTGGATATGCACGGCAATTGGACCCAGGCACTACTCAATTTGGACCGGGTAATGTAAATCATGTCTTCATGTGATTCAAACCAAAAATTTGACAGCCATGTTTAAAAAATAGAACTACTTTCAAAATGAGAACTTAATTATTTATTAACTTATTATTTAGAATCAATCTATAGATTTTATTTTTACGAAATATTTATAAATATTTATATAATTATAATAATAATTAATTTATCTTGGTTCTATGTTTCTCGCTCAAAAAATTATAGAGATATGATGCTAGCGAATGCTGCTATAATTAAGCCTAACACTATAGTTACAATATTTTTATAGTCAATTAAAGAATTTGTGGAACTAAATTCCAATCCATCGGCATCAGGTGCATCTGTCACAACAACAACAGTTTTTGCAGGAACCTTTTCTTCAACAACAGTTACTTGTCCATCATCTAAAGTTTTAGTAACTTTTGTCGTTGATTCAGGAATTACACTCGTACTAGTCGTTAACTTTGGAGATCCTTTTGCTGCTGTATTAAGAGATGTTATGGTTGGAAGTGGAGTGTTTTGAGGATTTGCTGCGGCTTTAGCGGGAACCGGAGCTGGAGGGGGTGGTACGGTCTTTGGATCAGTAGGAGCTTTAGGATCCTTTGCGGCATTTTTTGCTGGATCTTTTGCGGGATCCTTCGCAGGATCATTTGCTGGAACTTTTGCTGGATCTTTTGCAGGATCAGGAACTTTTGCGGGATCTTTCGCAGGATCATTTGTTGGATCTTTTGCTGCTTCTTTTGCTGGATCTTTTGCTGGTTCCTTTGCTGGTTCCTTTGCGGGTTCCTTTGCTGGTTCCTTTGCGGGTTCCTTTGCGGGTTCCTTTGCTGGTTCCTTTGCGGGTTCCTTTGCTGGTTCCTTTGCTGGTTCCTTTGCGGGTTCCTTTGCTGGATCCACTACTGGAAGTTTTGCTTGTGGATTCTGATCCTTTGGTGCATCACTAAAATAATAATTTTTTTAAGCAAATTTTCATGTTGAAAGAATTTTTTTTTTAAAAAATAAAATAAATTATACTTACGGTGCTTTTTCTTTTGGGGCACCATCTGCTGGTGCTTGCCTTTTATGTAAGTTTATAGACCTAAAATCGACTGTTGGAGATGATAAGGTTGATTTAATCACAACACTTAATATGAAGAGAGCCACAATCGCAAGGGCTCGTTTATTTGGTATCATGGTGAATTATATTATTTTTTTTTTTAATTTATTTTAGAAAAAAATTCTAGAATAAAAAAAAAATTATTATAATATAAAGAGTGTTGAGAATTAAAAAAAAAGGAGTGTTAAAATTTTTAAAATGTAATAACGAAAGAACCAAAAAAAAAAAGATAACAAACATAACGAATTCATGCAATTTATATATTTATTTGTAGGTTTGAAATGTAATTTAAATCCTGCATATCTTATGTGACACAAAGTCATTTATTATTTATAGATTCTTTTATATTGGTGTTATTTAATATACGAATATTCTGTTGGGTTCACAAAGTTCACAAAGTTAATTTAAGTCAATTTATATATTTATATATTTATATATTGTTTAGAGATTTACATACACGCGACAATTATTTACCAAATTTGCAAATGTGATTAATTAAATTTCACCGCATTAAATATCACGACATAATTATATAATAAAATGCATTATTGTGGCTAAGGGCGACAAGTTCTAAATATAAACATTGTATTTCTTTTTACCCAAATTTAAAAAACTTTGTCTAGTCTTAGTGGTTTAATACATAAGGGTGTAATAATTCTTAATGGCATGTAACGCCGAGTTAGTGTAATGTGCCAATGGCTTGAAGGTAAGTATGTGACAATTAGATAGTGATTGAACTCATTGAAGGGTTCAATAATTATAAATAGTGCAATCCATAAATTCATTCAAAAATGAAGTGCGTGAACCAAATCTTATCTTTTTGACGTTCTTTATATTAAATGATTATGATTAAGTCTTTGTTACACCAAGTCAAATTATCCAATTTTTCTTCTGATGATATCAACTTCCCATTTTACAAAGGTAATTGGTGTAATGACGGGAAACCCTCGAATTAACGTTTTAATAAACAAACAATAAATTCAATTAAAGCTCGGGTTACCTTTTTATTTACTTTCTATAATAATCAGACGTCATGAATTACGGAAATTCTTGATGTTTATTTGTCAGCTTAATACAGTTTTACCCTTTATTTGATGTCTTGGAGAACCTGTGGTAGTGGCAATCAAATTAGTGGGTATGTTGAAAGAAAGTTCTTGAAACATTTGTTCATTTCAATTCATGTCAAAATTGAAAAATTTAGAAATTCTTGAACTTTTTAATATAAAATTTCTATGACCGTGTGCCAGTGGTCAACCCGTTCAATATAATCGAAATTTTAGTTTAAATCCTAAATTTTTTATCAGCTCTATTTGTTAACTAATATCAGTATAATTATTTAGCTAATGAACTTTAATAAATTCGCCCAAGTTAGGCTTTGAGTTTTTAACAAAATGTATAAACATGAAAAACCAATAAAAAAGGCTCATTTCTCACATTTTTTATTAAATTTATGCAATTTTATAACAAGTTGTTTCATACATTAGACACAAAGAAACACCATTTAATTAGTGTAATCCGTAATCCGTTGATCCGCCGGATATGTCCGTTTACATTAACCGGAGTAGTTCTTCACCGTATCAGCGAACATTCAGTGAATATCCGGCTGATATCCGACTAAAAAAATATCACTACCTTTCCGAGCATTTCATTCTCACGTTTAGCAGAAGACATTGAATATCTATAGATTGATTTTTCCTCTTCCAAAATAATTGCCAAATTATGAAATAAGTTAAACTATCATATTTCTACCAATATTAAAATTAAAAATAAGAGATTACTATCATTTGTAATAAGTTATATTTTATTAAAATTTGATTATAAATTTGTGGAATGTCCTTTAAATTACATTTTATATTATAAATGCCCCAGACGTTAAAAGAACTTAGACTGATGTTGGGCTATCTGTTCAATTGGACATTGGACGTCCAATTGGATATTCCATTGTCCGATTATTTATGACTTGGACAATGTGGACTTTATCCAATTGGTCCCAATGTCCAGTTATATGAATTGGACATATCCAAATCCAACACTAAAACTTACTCACTCCCACTCACTTCACTCCCATCCAAGGATGTCCCGCCCAAATCACAACAATCACAAAACTGGGAGTTGAGTTACTAGTAAGAACTGTTACTTGTAGGGATCGGGATAATTTTTAAATATGTGACGTTCTTGCGTTTCTTGCGTATCTAAACATGTTCAATATGTTCAATTAAACCTTTCTGAATATATCGTGACTAATATACTCTTGAATATTTCGAAAAATTAATAAGTATATTATATATATATATATATATATAGTAATTTATCAGTACGCGAATATTATTTAACGTAGTTTTTCGGTCATACAATTGACCTAATGTGGCTTAGAGCGCAGTGACTGTGCGATGTTAAGATTTTTTCTTTCTTTCACCTGAACTTATTAAAGAAATTATCGAGGTTCTTGGTCGAGACATTACACAATTAATGTATGAATAGTATAAATGAAATATATTTTTTTGGTTATTATTGTGCATTTACAAGAAAACGGGTTCAGAGCTTACAAACTTTTCCAGGACTTCCGAGAAATTGGTTAGTGGCTGAAAGAGATTTACTTTCCAATACTGCATATCTTGTACTGATGTCCGTTTTTGTTTTATCCAGAATGATGATTGTGACAAATGAAACCGGATTAGAGTTAATGATGGAATAATTAATACAGGTAACGAAAAACTGGTGTTGTCGCGGGCATTAGTATAGAAACGCCATCTCACTTTGTAAAACAAACCCATGTATCACCGAATCATGTATTTTATTTTCTATATCAATAAAGTCAAAATTTAACAATAATTCTGGTTGTGACATTTTATTCTGCATTCCCACATTTTATGTTCGAAGGATATGTTATATAACTGACCGAATTTTTTTTTTTTTTGTTGTTCTGCTTGCCTTCTGAAGTTTATGATTGAGAAAGGCGATTATTCTATCTTGTATAAAAAGAAAAATAATATCAATCATGCATCTGTTGATTCGTTGAAAGAACTGAATCCCAAGCTCTTAGCTGAAATTGCTGGACTTAAGGAGGAAAATGCAAAGCTAAGAGCCAAACTTAAGAGCATAACCGAGAAATAGAGCAGATACTGCTGCCGAGAATTCCGAGCTCAAGATTGAGGCATGATATTGATGAAATTAAACAAAAAACCTAGTGCGAAGAGGCAAAAGGGTTAGCAATGAGATCAGGCAGAGGGAGCGAAAGAAAAACTTCAGCGTGAGATAACGCATTTGTAACAAAGGTCCAGGAGGCATCTCCAATTTTCCAAAATGCCACTTCTATTACTTGCTAGCCAAGACACGAATTTTACCTCGCATGAACAGGGAGACAATTCATGATTCGAGAAACATCTATTTAACGATATATCCAGGATCGGATCGTGACTTCACATTCGACTGATCTCAGTTCAGAAAAAGTCAGATGTCTTGCAAAATATAGTCAACTTACAGCATATGAAAAAGCATGTAATGTGGAAGAAGAATAGATAAAGGCCAATCAAGTGGAGATTTTATGCTGGTGTAATTTTATTATAGCATTTGATAAAAGCATTAATGAAATCATGAGTAAAGATAAGGTAGGCACGAAAAGCCAAAGGTCTATTTATGATTTTATTATTGCGCAGAATTTTACAAGTTATTCGAAAAATCATACAGTGAGAACTCCACTTCAAAGTTTACTAAAGAAATTCAAAGGATTATAGATAGTTCACTGAAACCTAACCTGGATTTACAGATGACCAGGACAATTCTATCATCATCTTCCGGTCATAAGTTAACTCATATTTAACGTAAAAATTTTTAATAATTGCAATCTTTCTAATCTTTTTGAAAAGTTTTCAATAATTATATATTGCATTTGGCTATAAATCTGGCCGAAATTTTATATAAAATTTCAAATTTAAATTTCAATTCAAGAATTTATTGTGTTGTTTTCCCTGATCTGAATTTTGAATATATAGTTCTACTTCAAGTTCCTCAAAGTGTTTCTAATAATATAAATATTGATTAATTTATTTAACCAATAAATATTACGAAATCGACAATTTATACCTAAAGTGTAATTAAGATGATTTGTCCTGTTTTTTTAAGGGAAAGCGAAAGGGTAGTCGTGGTATAAAATTCGATGCAATGAGGGAGTGCGTGGTGATAAATGGATTAGAAATTTCCTCACCGGGCGGTTCTGCAGTTTGCGCGACCGAACATTATCGACAAAATCTTTTCTAAGTTTTGAATTCGGTTTGATAAGTGTTGAATTCGTACGTGATGTCCGGACGGTTAGACATTTTGAAATCCAACCCGTTCTTTGGTAGGTTTGGGTAGGTTGAAGATTTTGGTTTTGTTGCTCAGGTTTTCCAGTAAGTTTAGGAATTCAGAGATTTTGTTGCATCTATTTTTTGGTAGACTCATGATCCTGAGCTTCTTCGTTAAGCACGTCCCAAATCTGATAAAGTAAAAAAGTGGTCGAATTACATAATGTGCATAATGTATAACATAAGGTCAAAAGGTCAAAAGTGGAAATACCATGAAAAAACCTACCTCAATGAGGTAATTAACTTTATTTCTCTTTAAATTTAATGGAACCTTTTGGATCATCAAATTGTTTTCCTTTCATACCATTAAAAAAATAAATAGCATCTTTATGTGTATCAAAAGTGAATGTACGCGTAACTAATATTCATCAAATTTATTTATTAATAATTGATTAGATTTATCAAAATTGAATTTTTTTATTAATTATAATAACCTTTTTTTGCATGCGCAAACGGAAATGAGGAAATAGTTTTAATCCGGTCTTATATCTCGATAAAGTTAAGAGTCTGGATGACCGGCCTTGTCGCAGCAAGAGTATCTGTAAAAAACAAAAGATGCTTCTAAAGAAGCGAAGGGACAAAGGAAGCGAAAGGAGAGTAGCTTTCACGGAAGAGCTTCCACAAAGGGAAGCAAAGAGAGAGTAACTTCCACTTTTGAATGGAACTGATTTATACTTTTGCATGAGGCGCAAACTTTCCATACACTTTTCATTGATTATAATAAATACTTGTGCATCGGACACAAACTTTTCTATATACAGTACTTTGATAAACAACAATCAAAATTTGGACATTATTCTTTTTGGACATGGTTCTTTTTTATTCTTCAGCTTTTTCTCCACGCCTACCCTATCCTTTAATATCCCAATGACTTACACTCATTTTTGCGTAATTTGGCTTCGGTTTCTTCTTTAACAATGGACTTAGTAAGATTGATATAGTATTTGGTTCACTTGTACACGAAATACCTTTCTAGGTATAAAGGAGAAAGTACCACTCCGTGGTTGTGATAATGATTCCATAGAAATAGTCATATTCCTTCCATTAACGTCATCAGCTTTTCGTTTCCTCTATTGGTTTGGTAAGTACTTTCGCATTGTATGACATTCTACAGGGTGGAGATAAAAGCTCGTTATTAAGAGCTCAAGCCGAGATAAACTACACCTATACCGTGAGCGAAGCCAATACCGATCTGATGCTGTTTTCCCTCTGTAATAGATCGAAAAAAAGTTCCGGAATCTTCAACCTCTCGCACAGATTCTCAGTGAGTAATGTCCGAAAATTGAGTGATATCAGACGTCAACCCCCGGATAAGCCTTCTAATACGAAAGTGTCATCTCCCTTAACCCATTTCTAAGATTTTTTCGCAGTGGACGCATCCGTAACTTCATTAACCCGCTGGTATTGGGTTGGACTTGAACTTCTGTATCATCCTCATCCACATCCTTATTAATATCCATTTCTTGATCCATTACAGTACCTCCAGCGCTTCCTCTTCCTGCGAAGAAGATTCTTCCGGAATTGTTTCCAAAGCATCAGTTGACGGCATATAGGGTACGACGACTTTCGTGGATTATTGATGCAATCACAATATGCTTGCAGGGCGCATCTCTCTCAATACACTGAATTGTTCGGAGTTCGACATTTTTGAATTTAATTGCTTTCTGTCTCGAAAAAATTAACTTGTTTTTATAGTACTTGTAAATTCCACAAGAGAAAGCGATTCACTGGATCAAAATTGCATTTCGTCATTTCACTATTGCCTCTTATAAATCGCGGCGATTAGTAAACACATTCCTCAAAACCCATTTTCGTCAAGTCAAATCTTTCTTCCTCAAAAAAATTAAATGTTTTGAGTATCTCGGTCAGAAAGGTGGTACCATGTCATTACGTCGCACAGCATCTTTCTGCGCATTTCAGGTGACATGATCACTCTACCGGTATACTTGCTTTTTTATGTTTTTTATGCAGCTCAATAAATAATATTTTATATTCCAACGAAGAACAAAAAATTTAGCGTTCATGACATCGTGGCCCATACAATTTCCCTACACAATGCATCTCTTTTTATGTTCCTAACTTTTGTGAAAATGTTCATATAAGGCAGTAACGTAAATTGTTATGGACGAGTTAACAAGATCTCTCAACTATTGCCCTACTATTATTCTTTGTGTTACGAGTCCCATTTTTGTGAGGTTACTATGCTACTAAAAACAGTTAGGCAGAGAGTAGGGTCCTTCATTATCGTCGCACAGCATAAGGGTGCATAATTTCTCTTTTTTCCCTTATCCACACAAAAACATTCTTTCCGGCTTCAAAATCGCTTTTGGAACAAATAAGAATGAATCCATGTTCAGGATGCAGTTCCAAGGAGTATTGTAATCCATGTAACTCAACACGTTTCCGTGACAACTTTGCATATTGGACCAGTGATGATTCGAAACTTGACATATTGATTCAAAATTCGCAACTTAATGCACATAGTTCGAGAGAATTAATTGAATGGATTGATTACTCAAATTTCAAAAATATTGAACTAATTGCACACGGTGGATTTGGAAGTGTTTATAAAGCAATTTGGAAAGATGGTCCATTAACGGAACAAGCTTGGGACATTGATTATTCTATATGGAAACGACGTCATAACCAGGAAGTAGTGATAAAGAAATTTCAAAATGTGACTCATGTCAGTCCAGAGTTGTTGAATGAGGTGGTTAACCTTTTTTTCAGATGTTGAAGTTTTTTAAGGAACAAAGATCAATTAAGTAATTTATACTATATATTTCAGATTAATATTAACTCTAGATTATGTTTCGAGTTTAACCGTGATGAAATTATTACAATATATGGAGTGACTCGTGATCCGCAAAGTGCGGAATACGGAATTGTTACTAAATTCATAAATGGTGGAAATCTGAGGGAAATGATTAAAAAAAATCATAGTAGCCTAACATGGGAAATTGTTCTTAATATACTTTTTTACGTCTGCATGGGATTACGTCATGTTCATTATAAAAATTATTGCCACAAAGATCTCCATAGTGGCAACATTTTGATCAATAATTTAAATATAAGACTTGGTATAATTGAATCAGCAATTTCAGATTTTGGTCTGTGTCGTCCTATGGATCAAAGTTCCACAGATAAAACTATATGTGGTGTTTTACCATTTGTCGCACCAGAGGTTTTACTTGGTAGAGAGTACACTAAAGCAGCGGATATTTATGGGATCGGGATGTTGATGGCAGAAGTAATCAGCGGCGAACCACCCTTTGCTGATAGGGATTATGATGAGAATTTGGCTTTGGCTATTTGCTTTGGTCAACGTCCACATATTCCAGAATATACTCCTGAACCATATGCTGCGTTAATGAAACGTTGTTGGGATCCTATTCCTACCAATCGTCCAACGGCCATAGAATTAAACGAACAGATTTTTGATCTAGAACTTGGCCTTGACAAGGAAAGCCGGCTAGAAATTATAAAAGAATTCAGTAAGGAAAGGGAAGACAAGTGGAAAGCACGATTAGCAGAATTGGCTACAAATCCAATACCCCTGAAAGAATCGCAGAACTTGCTCACCAGTAAACGACTTGACTACTCTCAGTATCTATCACAAAAACTTACGGTTGAAGATTGGAATAAACTAAAATTAATCGACTAATAAGTCGACTTATTGTGAGATCAATGGTAAACAATATTGTATGTGGAATATCACATGAAAAAAAGTTTTGCGATTGCAAATATTTTATAATTGAATTCGGTTAACTACATACTTCTATTTTTTTTGACAAACTATAAGTAAGGTTGGGATTCGTAATACAATATAATAAGGATTATATGATATATTTAGTAGTAATCACAAAAAAAGTAATACGTATACAATTGTAATTAGAACATCCATTTTTGGATGTCTTCGTTAATTTCGCTTTAACGTTCATTGAAATATGTATTAGCTGTAATTAGATGATATCTTAGGATCCTCTCGTCTTTTATTGTTGATATACAAGTCTTATTGAAATACTGAATAGTAGAATTTATACGAATTCTCTTACAAAAGGTGTTTAATATTTATTCAAGTTCGTATTTGATAACTATGAGTGTTTAAATATCGTAATTACACGTGTCTTTGGCCGGCATTCCAGGAATCTTCTGCCGGAGATGGTAAAAAAAATAAAGCACAGTAAGATTGGTAAGACTATACAACCTTTTTCTTACTCCGACCACTCATTATTTTCTCCGAATCTAATTGTTATGATACCCTTAATTTATCTTAAATAGGATATATAACTTTTTTGTTGCGGCTGTGCATTTGTAAGCATCTTCTGAGTTACAAACTAGTCATACAGTAAATTGCAATATTTTATGAGTTTACAGTAGTAACATTATCATATTACTATTTTTTTTACATAAAATAATCAGTAAGTGTTTAAATCAGATTAAATCATAAATTTTATGAACCGATCTTTATAGTATGATTTGACATCATCTTAATGTCGGACATAAAATTATTGTATAAAATACTATTTTAATCACAAAGGGCTGTATTTTCAGTATTGAACCTTTTTTTTGTAAATAAATATTATAGCTACTTATGTATTATATTAATATATACATAAAGTAGTTGTTTTATATATTAGCTGTTAGTGTATTAATATATTCAATCGATAGGCGCGCACACAAGTTCCGCACATCATCTCATCCACATGAGATGTTAGTCATCATTTTTTTTACTCACGAGTCGCGAGTCGCGATTTTTTTACAAATATATATATACTCTCAACAAACTCTCTCATACTCTTTAAAAAATAAAACCGGTATTTTTAAAAACAAAGTAAAATAAAAATAGTCAACCATGGCAGAACAAAGTCAACAAGAAGCTTTTACAATTGCACTCACAAAAGAATCGAATGATATAGGGCAAAACACGTCAAAAGGTTAATGTGGAGAATAAAAAAGTAACAATAGAAAACGAAAATTCGGGGCAAAACTTGTTAGAAAAAAATAAAGATTCAGAAGATAATAAAATTGATATGAATTCAATTAATGACATGGCCTCTTCAACTGGCGAAACTAAGGAAGACGAAAATCCTGAAGAAATTTTTTTATTTTAAATAAAAACTTGGTCGAAAATAAAAGTGATACGACTTTGTTAATGGCACAAACGATCCCTCTTCAACCAGTGAAATTGTGAATATGAAGGAAGACGAGAATCCGGCAGGAAATTTGTTAAAAGAAAATAAAAATTTAAACGATAACAAAAGTGATACAACTTTGGTTAATAGCACTGGTCCTAAGTCTTTCTTAGGTCAGGATGGACTCGATAACGCAGACGCGGACGCGGAAGAAATTGCTGCACGCCGCGCAACAGAATATATCGACGATGAAGCAGATGACTTGGAAGTAAACTTCACGTTCATTGTTCGCCTTGTCTAGCTTTTTAATCGATAAATCTGGTTATGTTTAAATGGACCAATTTCGCGAAGGACCTCAGGCTGTGATATCGTTTTTAAATTATTTACATAACCATAAGGTATGTCCGGAGTATGAAGAAGATATGCAAACGGCTTGCAAATCGCTCACAAAGCAAAAGAAGAATTACCAAATTGCAAAGCGCTCGCACAGAATGCGCCAGGAAAACTCAACAAGGCGTATTCTTTGTTATTCGGAGGAGAATTATATGGTATGCTTGATGGTCCTTGGAATGGAGAAGAAATGGTAGCGTCAATGATAGTTATTTGGCGCTAAGAGTTGACCGAGTTAAAAAAGATTCTAGAACCGCTTTGACATGTGAAATTATTGGAGTTGAACCTTTTCAAAAGGATATATCGGAGGCTTCCGCAGATGAAACCCTTCAAAATTCTAATGAATTACACAACACGCAAGAAACTGATCTCAAGAAAATAAAGTTACGTGAATTCGATGTGTCTACTGCGGAACCTTTTTATAACTGTGTAAATTCAGATTTAGGAATTTATGCTATGCCCGGAATGCGTATCACTGCCGATTTTCATAAGTTATCTAATGGATTTTGGTATTGGGATAAAGTAACAAATGTATATCCTTCATATTATCAACCTTGTAATGATGATTCCGATGATGATGATTAAATTAAATTTTAGATTTTGCATTATGGTAAAAATTTTTTTTTTATTTTTTTTTGTATTGTTTTATGTAAATTCTTTTTTGACTCATGATCGGACGATTCTACAATATTCATTTCTAAGGAGTTTTAAAAATACTGTTCTGAAGAAGCCTAACAAATAAAGACGTAAGAAAGAGACGAAGTGACATCTGTGAACAAAATTTTTTGACAATATTTTCAGCAAAGTTAGTAGTAAGTATTTATTACTTTATTATTTTTATACTTGAATCTTTATTACAAATATTAAAAAAAAATCATTTTTTTATTATAGAGAGGATAAAACGAAGATGAAGGTACACATATTTTCTTATTAAAAAACGCGATTTCTTTTTTTTTATATATTTGTTATCGACCTCTTATCATTGGATTGTATTTATTTTTTTTTATCAGTTACAGCATTATTTTGTATTGAAACACTGGACAACAGATGAAAGTTCTCTGAATGGTCTGAATGGAGTATTATTGATTTTTAGATGAATGTAAATGGCTCAAGAGACTTTAAAAGAGGTGTGTATTTTTTTATTTGCAAAGTGGGTAACTTCCTAAGTCAAAATTAGAACGGATAACTCATTTGAGTCGGGGAGTTCACAAATTTTACTTAGGAGGGTACTGGATTTGTTTGTTTGGGTTGGGTAAGGGTGAGCAAAGTGGGTAATTCCTTGAAATTACCTGCTTTTTTCTTTTTT